GAGAAACAGATGAGACAAGAGATGGAAATGTAATATTGCCTCTATTTTATTATAATTAGATATTTATAGAGCACAGATGAGTTTATTTTCATAATTAGTAGCTGGCATTGCATTTACTAATTTGCATGAACAGTTGGCTATCAAAGCAGTAACTTATTTGCAGGGCTCTCGAGTCCTAGCAGGGCCAAGAGGGGGCTCAACTCCTCAAATCAGTTTTCTTAATGTTATTACCAGCAAAATAGAATCTACATGAAATCATGTTCAAATTTATGTAGCTTGATTATCTCTTTCCAGTTTGGCCAATGTTGATTAATTCAGCATTGGAAAGCCAATGGTCAAATCTACACGAGAATAACTACGTATAAATAAACTAGAAGGGGTTTCTAAATTCTGAAGAATTAGGGTCAACACTAACTAGCCCAGTAAATAAAGAGTTCTGTATAGTTAAAGGAAAAAAAAATTAAATGTTCTCAGCCATCCTCACTATTTAAAAATCATGCCAGTTCTTGGCAGTTGTTGAAGCTATCAGTTACCTCTCTCCCCAGTCATTCTTAACATTGTATTACCCTCCCTGAGCAAGGCCACCCCACTCTACAAAACCAACTTCCTCTAACACATAAATCGGACTCCCTGAATTAGTGCCAAAGGTAGAACAGATTCCGGGTGCCCTGACCACTGTTACGGGCAAAGAGAAAATTAAGCATGCTGCCGATGACTACCTCGACTACTGACAACCAACGAGAACTGGAGGAATATATTTTACTCCTCCTTTCTCCTTGTGCCCAAAGTCAAAAACCTGTGGGTCTTGAGTCAAATCACACAAGTGTGTGTTTATCCATGCATACAGAGACAGAAAGATGCCATGAACCAACATTTTTATAAAATCCACTTCTGACTTATCTTGAGGACCTGGTGGCATTGGGCATGCATTCTTGCATGGCAGCAATCAGCTGGAGCAGAGTACAGGCTGCTGCCCTTGGAAAGACTTCTGCTCTCCAGTTTGTCACAGTCCCCACCACTCTCTATTGTATTACAATAGGTTTTTCTTACCATGAGATCTGCTTCTTGATGATACCTACCAGGCCTCTGTAGGCATTTGATTCTGTAACACCTACTCCAAGTTCAGTTTCAAGGGAAAGCATTTGGTAACCTAACTCCAAATGCGCAATCCTCAAATTAACAAGAAAAGGGGGATGGAGGCCAAAACACTTAAATACAGGCTGTCAGAATCAGGTCAAAAAAGCTGACCAATTCCTCGTTGGCTGCTGAATAACTCCTTTGGTCAGACACTTCTAGATAAAGTCTCATTTGTTTTTGGATCAATGCAACCCAATGGTCTCCTGAATCTGGTAGTTATTATTATAGCCTAAACATCCTGTTCGGTTTTGTAGATTTAACGTCACAATCATTTCCACTACAAGTTTACTGCTTCATCACTAGACTTCAAAGAATGACAAAATCTGAGGCACTATTTCTTTGATAAGCTCGTAACAGTAAATCCAAAGACCTTTCCCACTTTTATTTTGGTATAATCTACGACCGTTTCCCTCTGTCACATGCACACACAGGGTCAAGAGAAGGCCTGGATGAGGAGGGAACTGCAGACAGAACATCTATGCTTACTCCATGACCCACTGCAGCTCCTTTGCTCAGCTGTTTGGGGTAATAAGGGCAGTGATAAGGGGCAGAAGTTGGTGTACAACTCTGTACAAAGTACTGAGCTAAGTGCGGTGCGTGTGACAGAGATGGCCAAAACACGGCCTCCGCTCCTTAAGGAGGGGCGGGGTGGGACTGAAACACATGAGTAAATCTAATTCGAGACAGCTTGGCATAGGTACCTTACACGGAAGCACAAAGTCTGGGAGACTTATGAGGCCTTAAAAGAGAGTTAGCAGAAGGAGGGTATTCCAAGGACATTCAAGAAAGAGGGTGGAGCTTGAGCAACAGACAGGAGGCGGGAAACCATAATGTGAATTCAGGCAGAGCGAGCGGACTTTAGGAGACAAGGGCTCTGGCAGAGGTGACCGTGTTGCATGGGCCACGGTGTTGTAGAAAATAAAGCTGGGAAGGCACGTTAACAACTATACGATGAGAATCCATCAAAAGCTTTTGAACAGATGAGCTACATGATCCGATTTAATTTTAATTTTGCTTTATTTTCACTTTTAGGAAGATGACTGACAGCAGGATAAGAAGGATTAGAGATTTCGAGTCCCTTCCACATGCGACCCACTATGCTAGATACATCTGGACATTAACAAATAAATATGTTTGTCTTCTTGCCATCTAGCAGAGGGGAATGGCCCAATTTCTAAATAACTTTAACATAAAATACATGGAGGGAGAGCCCATCCCTGAATGGAGCATTCAAGAACAGCATCAAGTAGGAAATGAAATCGACGTGTGATTGCATTGGGTGGGCAAAAAAAAAGGGAGGAGGGGTTGTTATAGGAGAGGCAAAGTAAGTTAAGCTAGAGACAAGGAAAGGTCCAGTAAGGTTATGTGGTGTCCTCTTTGACAGCGATTTTGCATCTAAGATTAACAAGAGAGAAGGTTAAAGGTGCACAGCACCATATTAAGGACAGCTTTGAAAGCGAGATAGCTAATCCTGCACTCCATTTGGTGGACAGCAGAGCTTAAACAGTTCTCGGTTACTGGACAGACTGGAAGAAATAGAAGCAGGAGACTAACGAGGCCAGGGCAACTATCTAATAAGGGCTAACTGGGAACTGAACTAGAGTGTTGACAGTAGAGATGCAAGAGACCTTCAGGAGGAGAATCTCGACATCTCTTTCAACCAATCACCAGGAAATCGCCAAGTTCAGGAAGGAGAAGGGATAGAAGGCAATTTCTGGGTTTTATTCCAGGGGATAAGGAAGATGGGGGCACCACTGACAAAAATAAGGGAGCTGGTTTGTGGTCAGACGGTGAGGAGGCTGACTTTAGACATACTGAGGTGACAGTATGGGTAGGATATTTATATGGACGTGTGTTACCGAGAGTGCAAAGTGGCATGTTGGAACCTGAGACAGGTCAGTGCCAGGGAGACAGCTGAGAGGTGTAGACAGGGAGGCCATCTTCAGATCCAAGAGAGGCAGTGTAGAGTTGTGGTTAGGGGCTCAGGTTCTGGGTTTCATTTCCACTTCGTAGCCATCGGACTTCAGCTATTACACTCTCTCAGCCGTGTTCCACTTATTTGTAAAGCTAGGCTAACCCATCACCTACCCCATAAAACAGTTATGAGGATTCGGTGTGATAAGGCACAGAAAACACATGGCCCAATGAATGGCACACAGGAAACACTCAATCAGTGTTAGCAGCAGCAGCTGGAGAATGAGGATACACGTGTACAAAACCTAAAAACACTAAAAACATTTATCTTATGGGATGTTTTAGGCGATTAGGGAAAGGAGAGAGATGGGGTGAGTGGGGAAAGAAGGAAGGGAGACTGACTCTAATGTATTCTCATAGAAGCCGGTGGGAGGAGGGACAGGTTACACTGTGCCACATGCTTCAGAAAGGTCGAGTCCTGGCAAAGATTGGTGGCTTTGCCTATAAGAGATCGCTGGCAGCCTCTGGTTGAGTAGAGTAAGTAGCAAAGTGGAGGTTACCGCCAGATGGACCCTTTCAGTTATTATTCTTCTTCCTCATCCTCCTTTTCCATCTCATTTCAAAAGATACCAAACCCAAAGAAGTGTGAGGGTTCTCATGACAGATTTCTAAGAATGAACCCACTTGCAATAAGCATAAAAGTTATAGGCAGTCAACCAACCCCAAAGCGTAAGTACAGGGCTGCTTCCAAGGTAACCACATGTAACATTTTTAAAATCCAGAAAAGCATGAAACTCAAATGAGAGATGGCCAGTTCACTAGTCATCAAATCGGTGTTTTCAATAACTTTTCATCTCCCCCGGCCCCGGCCCCGGCCCCGGCCCCGGCCCCGGCCCCACCTCTCTTCACCCTCCTCATGCCAGAATTCACATTTCGTACTTCTGTTATTAGCCGATCTTGGCAGGAAGCAACAGCACATAGCTTCAAAACACAGGGGCTGGAGAGTTAGGGAGGAAGAGGAGAGAACCGAATGCAGATACATATTTATAACTTATCAATTAACCTCTCCCTTCACTCCCGAACAGCTAATCCAATTTGAGCTGGTGAGCCAGGTTGTCCGGGCTCAGGTCGCTGACAGCTTTGATTAGGAATGGATGAGTGAGCTGTGCTACCCCAAGGTGCGAAGCGCTGAGCGGCACGTCGGGGCACTGGAGCAAACCCACCCGCTCGGCACCGCCCCCCTCCCAGCCTACTGGGCAAAGGTTGGCTTTGTAAGTTAAATCCAGTGTTCTGTCTTTCTCCACTTTCTCCTTGCAATGTGATGCACTGTATTTCTCATGTTATTCCACACCCCCGGCCCCACCATTCTCAGCTCGTCACCCCCAGTCAGAATATTTCCACTCACAGAAATACAGGCAAAAAAATAAATATTCCTCAAATTTTACATTAAATAAAATATCAAGCAATTCACCAATCCTCTTCCCTTTTTTTATCTATCATCCTTCCCTCATTGATATGATCCCCAAATTCAGTTATTCCCAAGTAATAGAAACAATGGTACGTCATTGCACATCTCCCCTGTTCCCTCAGTACATTGATGGGGAGAGTTTCTTAGAATATCCTGCATTAAGTAAAATACATCTCCCCTTCACTGCATAACCACTTTCAGAGTCCCCTATTCCTGCTAAGAAAAGCACGCCATAATGGATAAGCCTCATCCTGGATTTAGCGGGAGGTGGACCAACTCAGAACCACCCCCAACCACAGAACACGAAGGGCACTGAAGGAAAACGACAGCATTGGCTTTTTATTTATCTTTTTAGATGTTATTAAAAGCACTAAGTTATTATCTGGACTGTATTCATCAGAATCAACAGTTCCCCTTGGATACATGAATATTTCAGAAGGCAGACTGATATTTATAACGATAAAAATAAAATGATCTATACCTTTACTTCTACCTACAGAAATGAAGTGGAAGGTCCAGTTAAGTAGAGGAAGCATGGTGTCCACCATGGAGGCGGCGAAACAGAGAGAGAGAGAGAGAAAGAGCAAGGAAAGTAAAACATCAGCACAGTGCAGACGCATGAAGAAATGTCACACACACTAAAACCCACAATAGTAGCAGCAGAAGCACTACAATATCTTGAGAAGGCAGCACAAAACAAACTGCATGATGTGAAGCTTAAACAAGCCCTAAACCGTGGGACCAGCAAGGCTGCTTCCATCGGCTTCACGTTTAAGCTTCCTCCCGTTAGTTTCTTCTCTCCCATCCTTAGAAACAAGACCAAGTCTGCATGCAAAAGCACCGCATAGCCCCATGTATGTGAAACTGCATGCACTTAAACAATCTAAAATTGGTTAGGGAAAGTCAGAGAAGCTAAGCTTTCCTTTATTTTCCCAACATTTATATGAGTCATGAGGAGCAATAGTGAATAACATAATGAATATAGGTGGTTTGCACACGACACATGTAAGTATTTCCGCACATGTTTATGTACATCGGAAACAAACTCTGGAGATTGGGTGGAAACCAGACAGAAATCTCTTCCATGTTGAAGAAATAAGGAGAAGGAAAAGACTATTGGTAGGAAGTAGAGCTGCTTTTTCAGGTAATCATCACATGGGCGAGAACAGAGGAGGAGCTGGGAAATGGGAAAAAATGAGGAGGACAGATATAGATAAAGGACCTTAAAAACAAATTAAAATGCAAGTTGCAACTTAAAATCTTAGTGGCATTGACCACCCAGAGAATTCTGCATCCTTTCTTAAAAACCTCTCTCAAGAGGAATTCACAATATGTCATGTCTGTCACTGTTTGATTGCCTGAAGAATCTTCTTTCTAGAAGATCCCCCAGAGTATGTGTGTTTGGGTGTGCCTGAGTTCTCTGTTCATGCACACATCAATCTGGGTGCCCAAGAGAAGTAACGGGCAGAAGAGTGGGTAAAGTATACAATAGGAGTTCTCCACATGCTTTTCATAGATCATTGGGACTTAGCCCTCCAAAAATACCTGTGCTGCATCAGTGGGTCTAAAACAAACCTAATTAAAGTTAAAGAAGTCCCCATCAGCCTATCTCACCTGCCTGGACTTATGACACCAGCCATTTGATGAATCAGACCTCCAAGCCTCTATAAAAGCCGGAAGGACTCTCAAAGGGCAGCTGGGAGCACAGGTTGCAGAGCGTCTTCTCATCGGGACTCTGAGGGTCTGCTTTTTCTAGTGCAACTTGTTATCCAAGTTGGGCCACTAAATTCCAGCAATTCATAGAGCTTGGGACTTTGTAGAGTTGTGCTTAACTCTCTCAAACTACTTGGACACTAGGTCGACATGAGTGTGTCCTCTACTCATACCCACTTCATAGTTACCTGCTGTTAGCAGATAACTACACCTTGTGGGCAGATAACTTCACCTACAAGAGGAATAGAGGGGTTTCGCCCCCAGCCTCTTCCTCCATCTAACACTGGAAATCTCACCTGACCTCCTCCCTCCAGCTCTGTTCTTTGACGTCTGCTCTATACCAGGCTGTGCTTTCATTGAAATGTCTGGAGTTCAAATTGTGCATCTTGCCTCAGGTCTGGAGGATCAAATTCTATTGGAAAAGTGTGCTTCCTCCTTACTCTACCTTATCAAGTCAGGATGCCCTCAACTGCCCACCTGCGCAGCTACCTGAACACTATAAACAAATTTCTCTTGGCCCAGGTGGTTCCTCAATCTGATCATACCGCCCTCTGTGGCAACACCGCCTGATGATCCAATGTAAGGGAGTGGGGGAGGGAGGGTCCCTTCAGTGCTGCCCCGCCCTCCTCAAAAGTGCAAGAAAAACAGGAGAATGAGGAAATAGCTGTCCTTCCCCTTTTCTTTGGTCCTCCAAAAGAGGCTCTGAGTCCCATGTGTATTTGGAAAAGATAAGAGAAATAAAAGTATAGTCTTTGATGTCAGGGCAAGGCAGGTAGACCAATCTTGCAATCATCCCAAGGCTCAGAAGGAACACAATAGTAGCAATTGAACAGTGAAGGAAAAGACAATTTTAAGTAGGCTTAGTTCTCAAATCTTGATTTAGGTTGATAATGTGGAAAATTTTTATTTAGGAGGAAAAGGCTTCATTCACAGCCCACCCTGTGCTTAGCTGAGCTGAATTTCTTGCACAGTTCATTCCCTGCATATTTGAATATTTTAGGTTGCAGATGCTGAATTTACAGATCTTTATATGCAGTTTTCTTCAGGGTGTATAATGAGTTAGAATCCTGCCATGAGGATATTAGCATGTTCTCTTGGTGGTTTTGCTTTTATACAAAACTGAACACAGTCAACCCCCAAGGGCTTCCTTTCACCATGAGGGGCTGAAAGTCATTACAATGGGCAGTGGGATGGAGGGGAAGGCAAAAAAGCAAACCTTTACTCAGAGTGAAATTCAGGGAGAAGCCCAGCTCCTCTCCCCCAACCCTGGGCCCCAGCATGGGGTGTGGGGAGAAGCAGGAGGAAGTTAACCGCTCTGTTGCTCTGAAATTAGCTGCATTCACCCCCATTATCGATGCCGTCATGCCTTGTTTCATGCTTCCCTCTTGGAGGCAGCCCGGCAGGGCCAGGCCCTATGACAAATGGCAGTGCAGCATGGAGAAGCCGAGGGACTGATGGGGCCGGGAAACCACGATGCACTGGGGAAGGTACCCCCCACCACAGGGTGGCCTCACTGCCACAACAGGAAGGACAGGCAGCAAATGGCCTGCCAGCGTCGATGAGGCTCTGAGCCACCAGCCAGAGGCACGAAGGCAAGCAATTCTGGTAGCCGCAGCCCCACAAGCAAAAAGCACCTACCTTGTTCACTCATCATGAGGTGGGAGAGGCCTTGAGGAAAGGAAAGAAGGGAAAGGGGGAGTGGGGGGAAGGAAGGAAAAAGAGAGAAGACAAAGTTAAAATTCTGAATGCAGTACAATCTTCTCTTAATTCTTGTGTAAAAGGAGGAGTGACAGGGACACACACATACTCAGGAGCACACGATGAGCACGGGAAGGCCCGACTCTCTGGTCTGTACAGACTTTTGTTTGCTGAACTGCTCTGGGCTTGTCACGAGAACTTTCCTTTCACCACTGTTCTATGGCATAGGTAGGATTCGAGATATATCTATTAATGATTAGGTCCCTTGGGAAAGAGACTCAAGAGGCTAAGCAAAGTAGGTTTCTTTCTTTTTAAAAAAATATGCTTTTAATAGTAATACATGCTCACTGTGGCAATTTTGGAAAATTCAGAAAAGAAAAAAAATTAGTTCTAACCTCATCTTCCAGAGATTACCATTCAACATTTTTTCCCCCTTTTAGATACAGTATTCTTTTCTACAAAAACAGAATGGTACTGAACACATCAGATGAGTTCTTGCTTGCCAGAGTTGTAGAGATGACCTGAAATGATTTCCCCTACCACCCTCATCTCAGCCCAGCGACAACCATACCCCTTCCCTCCACCGCTTCTCCAACACCATCTTTCTTTAGAACGTCTGTTGTCCTTAATCAGAGAGGCCTAGCTCAGCACTGAATGGGTTAAAGAAGGTATATGTGTGTGTGTGTGTGTGTGTGTACACGTATACACACACACACACACACACACACACACCCCATGTACGCACACGTCGTGTGTGTGTGTGTGTGTGTGTACACACACGTATACACACACACACACACACCCCATGTACGCACACGCACCACAGTTCTAATAAACAAACAGTACAGCACAACCTCTGGCTGTGTCCTTATGGAAGTCAAACAAGGTGATTAAGAGCTCATTACTTCAAGGGAAGCATAAGCCCTGATAAATCTATTAAAAGAAAAGATTTCCGACCAGTAACCAACTGCACCAGTTATTTGCTCTTCCATTGCTTTTATTATTACGGGAGATGTTTCACAAAATCCAGATCACGCCAGAGAACCTTTACCCGGAGTGAAATTTAGGGATATAGGGGATTAATAAAGGAGAAAAATCTCTAAAGTATGGAAATCTCTAAATGTTTTTGGAGATTACCAGAGATTTAGAAAAGTAATCAGAGGCAAAATATAGGTCAAGCAACTGACTTTTAAAAAACCAATGATATATTAAATACATAGATATGTATGCCGTAAATGTCATGAAGTTTATGTTTTAAACAAATTTTCATTAAACTATAATCATATTTTAGATGCACGTTTCTGGCATTTATTTCTCAAGGCCTAGGATTAATACTCATGTAGGCATGAAATCATGCCAAAGCAAGTCATTCTCAGATCCACTTTGTTAAAAAAAATTAATTTTTGGTCTTTTTGTAGGAGGGGATAGTAGGGAGAGAGAGAGAACAACGGGCCACAGATTTGGCTAAGAGAAACTTCAGCAGAAGTAACTGTTTCAAAAAACCCTAATATTTCTGGGCCAGGTCATAGCATTTAGCATCCGGATCAAGAGCATTAAGGAGACAGGCCTGGGATAAGCAGGTAGAGGATGTGGAAGCATAAATAAGAACAGAATAGGTACGTAGATTCACTAGGTGACTATTCACAGGAGGGTTGTAAATGTTAAGAAATGAGAATAAGGAAGGTCCCAGAAGACATTTAAGATTAAAATAGGTTAAAAATGAAAGGATAATAATACTGTATATTATACCTGAAAGTTGCTAAGAGAGTCGGTCTTAAATGTTCTTCACCACAGAAAAGCAATGGTAATTATGGGATGGGAGGGAGATGTTAGCTGATGCTATCTACGGTAGTAATCATTTAGCAATATATAAATGTATGAAATCAACGCACTGTGCACCTTAAATTTACACAGTTATATGAATTACATCTCAATAAAGCTGGGGGCTATGAATTTTTTTTAATTTAAAAGTGAAAGGACAAAGATGTTTGACAGCTTGGAGGAGTGAGTAGAAGAGAAGTGGATTAGTCTTTATCTGACCCAAATAAATATTTTCAGACTTTACCAAATGAAGAGTAAGCAGGATACCTGGTCGTCAGAGGGTATTCAAAGCCCTGAAGAAGCCCCCCTATTCTTGGACCCCATTTATGTGCTACATAGGTTCTTTAAAGCAGTATTTCCCAAAATGGATTTCACTGACCACCTACATCAACCGCCTGGGGATGTTTATTAACAGTGAAGTTCCTGGGCTTCACCTCAGACCTAATGAATTACAGTCTTGGGAAGGAGCTGGAGGAAAGATCTGAATTTTAAATAAGTTGCCCAAGTGAGTCTCATGCTCACTAGAATTTGAAAACTACCCCTTTAGGGTGGCATATAAATCAAATTTTGGCAAATTAAATTGTATGATAAATGCAGTAAGGGGTATTGGATATTTAATGGAACCCTGCAGTGGATCCTTTTGTAAAAGGAAGAATCCTTTCAAAATGCAAATAACTCAACACCTGTGTCTTTAAAATGCAAATATGTACTTACCAGGTTTTATTAAGCTACATATGTTGTTGCACTATTGCAACTCAAATAAAGTGTTTATATTCTTCAATGTATAAAAACCTTAAATAGAAATATTAGGCCAGGAATACAGATCTGGGATCCTGATATCAAAACTTTGGTTTTGCAGGCAATAAAGCAAAATGTACATGAACAAGTATAACAGGAAACCACATGAGGGACAAGAGAAACTATGTAACCATAATGTGGTTTGAGTTTTGTTTTGCTTTTTGAGAAGGGATTTTTTATTCCACTTTCAAGAGCTTTTACATCGGGATTTTATCTTGTACAAACATATCCTCATAGCTTGCAGAGAGTTAAGAACGGGAAACCAAGAATCCCTAAGTGTCCAGGTCTATTCTGAAATTCTGTCTCTCCCTCCTTCCACCCCCAAAACACTCCTACTTGCTACTAAAAATCTTAGCATTCCCCACTCCAAAGTGAATGCAAGAACCAACAATCAATCAACCAAAAGATTCAAGTAACTGCTATCTGCAGACTGGATAAGGTAATGGGGATACATGCTCATATGGTACATGGTCACTGATCTCTAGGACTTTAGGGTTTAGTTGGGAAGGTGTGTGTGTTTCTATTTACACAACACATGTATGATATTGCCTGACGGTGAAGTTTAAGAGTTAAGATCAAGGACTTCAGAGCCAGATTTGAATCCTACCTTTGTTATTTTCTAGCTTTTGACCCCAGGCAAGTCGCTAAACATCCCTGTGCCCTGCTTTCCCTAGCTGTAAAATTTAGATAATAAAACTGCCAAATTCATAAATTGTTTTGAGGATTAAATAAATAAATAAATGTAAAGCTGTGCCTGCACATGGTAAGGTTTATATAGGGGCTATTGTTTATTTTGATTTTGATATAAAAATAGACTGATGTGTGAGGCCACACCTAGCGTAGCACCTTGTCACACAGTAGGTGCTCAGTATGTGTTTGGTGACTGAATGAGGAATGAAAGAATGTTTAAACTGCTAAGTGTCAAATGACGAACTCAGACAATAAGGACAATTGGACGATGAGGAGAGCCCTGATGCATATAAAAGGTTTCTAGAGAAAAGTGAAAAATGGAATAGGCCTTGAAAGACGATTTAGGGTTCAGACAGAAAACATTCCAGGTAGCACCACTAGCTCCCAAGATCACAAAAAGCATTTGTAAGGCCTTTCCTGTTCAACTTCCCAGAAGTACATAGGATACTGCCAGGCACATGGTAGGTATGAACAAATATGAATAGTTCACATAAGAAAAAAGTGAAAGGTCATCTTCGGGATCGGAGGATGGAGACATTGTATGGAGGCCTTGAGTTTCAAGGCTAAGGAAAATGGACTTGATCTTGCAGCTGATGAGAGCACTGAGGGTTCATGAGCGGGAGCATGACCCAGGGAAAACGATGTTGGGGAAGATTACTTTGGCAATGGTGTGGACAGGATGGATTATAAGAAAAAAGAGATGGAGGCAGAAAGGTTAGTCATAGACGAGGGACCTAAATTAATATCATGGCAGCAGGAAGGAAAAGGGAAAAAGAGGATTCGATAGGCTTCAAGTGACCAATGAGATGCTTCAGGGGAGGAGAGGATGGGAGACTGAGTGAAGCACTGTCAGAAATAGGAAGATGGGATGGGTGTAGGAGATGGATTTGGAGTAAGGGCAATAATGAGCTCTGTTTTAGACATGATAAGTTGAAGAAACAGAAGCATCACTCAAGCAAAAATGTCTAGGGTGCTTTTAACAATGTAGGACTGAGGTCTACGAGAAAGTCAGGACAATATAAAGGTGTATCACCTCCTCTTCATGGACAAGAGGTCTGTGTCCATGTAAGTAAATAAATCTTCAAAGAAAAAGTGACTAGAGCGTTGGGACTTAACCTGGAAGGGCTGGTGGGGTCCGGGGATAGTAAGATATCCTGGAGGTTCTTCTTTTTTTTTTTAAGCATACTCAATAATAAAAGAAAATTTTACATTAAAAAGGGAATTATATGGTTTTCCGATATAGATACAGATAAAAAAGCTTAAAAAAATCTTAATGGAAAAGGTTACAATTAATAAGGAAGGAGAAGGTGTCTAGACTGGGAGCGTGGTTGATGAGGAAGAGAATAAATGAAGATAGGCATTCTTGTCAACCTCAGAAACAGAGGGTGAAAACGCACATCGGCAGTGCCCCCGCTGTGCCACACAGCCATCTGTGGGACTAGCACCCTGGCTGGGTTTGGAGGCTGGCATTTATTCCGGCTCTGATGTTCAAGGGCTGCTGAAAGACAAGGGCTTAGGGAAGCAAAGGGGACCACATCTTTCCAAAATAATCTCACTCTGAGCTCTGAGTTAAAACAGACCCTCAACCAACACTCAAAAGCCAGCTCTATAAAAGTTCACCTAATGGTGGGTACGAAACAGGAAGTGGGCTTGGATGACCC